TATCCGAATGGCCTGTGGCAGACACAGGCTCCCACCCCGGCCTTGAGGAAAGGAGAAGGGGGCGTGAAAGTGACCTCCTGTGGCCTAGATCCCAGGCAGCCGCCCCCCCGAGAGAGCTTAGTTCCCCCACGTGTGAGAGGCTCCGAGGTGAGCGTCCCTCAGCTGATGGGGCAGCTCCCAGTCCGCAGGAGCCGGTCCCACCACCCTCGGCCCTGGGCTCTGTTACAAAACTGTTGGCCCGTGCGACCCTGACTCCCTCGTGGGGCTTTGGCTGGGGCACCCAGTGTGTTCACGGTCTATTGAGCTTGAGTGCGTTGTGAGCGGATATGATGGGACCTTCAATGAGTTTGCCAGGTGCCCGCCTGGGTCTCGGCCCTCCCTGGACCTTGGAGCCCGCAGCCCCGCCTGAGACCCGCAGCTCCCGGACTTGGAAAGGCTTCGTGGCCTGAAGGCACTGGCTTTCCTGTCCTCCCCGCTCGGCCTCCGCGGGTCTCCCCGCTCCGTGGACAGTAGGAGGGCCCCACAGACCATCAGCCACTCATAGTTTGAATTTTAGGTCCTTTTCTACTTGGCTGTCCTCTGAATTGCTACCACTTCCCACCTGCCCACCCCCCAACCCCTTAGCCTGTCCATCCCCCAACCCCAAGCTGGGTGTGGCCCTGGTAATTTAAAAAAACAACTAAATTTACTATTTCAGCTCTTGTTCCTGGCCTGACCCGTGAGTTCCCTTCTGCCTCAGGGAGACCCCTCCCAGCATGCACCCCACTCAGCTCCCAGGCCCCCGGGTGACTCCTGTCACCACGACGTCCCACAGGCCGTGTCCTGGGCTCCCCACCCCCGTGTCCCAGTCCGTGCACAGCTGGGATGCCTGTGCCTTGTTCACTTTTATTTGGAAATGGCTTAAACCTTATAGAAAAGGCACAAAAATAGTGGAAACCAGTACAAAGTTCACACAGATGTCCTCACCCAGACCCACCTTGTTAACATGCTCACAACACACACACCCCCTGGTCAAGCCTCCACTCCTTCCTGCCCGAACCAGTCTTTAGCATTGCAGGCTGCAGGGTGTCGTAGAC